CTTTTTATCAATCTTCCGATCTTCCGGGTGGCACCCCACCAACCCAATGGCCTGCCGGGCGTCACATTCATGCCGACATCGTCTGGGCAGTCACCGGCACGGGGACAAGAGGACATGGGGTTGCCTCGCGAGGAGAGACGAGATTCGACTGGCCACTTGTGTGATGGGATAAGGGCAGCCACCGTTCCCTGGCATCAGACAAGAGCACCGACACCAGTGGCGATTCTCTGTCATGACCCTGATCGAAAGGGACGAGTCAACGAGGCAAAGACAGAGAAACAAAAAATACACCAACAAGAGGTAGATCACAGTAGGAAAAACCTGCTGCCGCGTCTTTCTTTGTCTCATGGCAACCCACCGCTCGGCCGATGGCGATTGATCGATAACCTTAGTCAACCATGTTCCCACGACGACACACGACAGTCGTCATGGCCCGCTCGGCGCTCGGCAGCCGGCACGCGATCCTACCTTGTTGCCGCCCTGTCCACCGTTTTCTCTTCTTGACTTGCGATACGGTGATGTAGCAAGTATGGGGGGGGGGGATGGAAGCATGGACTGAGGCAAGGTCCTGGAGCTGCTGACGCAAGAAACCTGTGACTACACAACCCATCCATTACCTGATCTGGCGTGACCATGCCACGAGAGATCCTGTCATGTTGCGACTTGGCGGGTGTCAGCCTGTGCTGGGGGTTTGGCTTAAGGCTGGCCCGAGAGAGCACTGGCGCTATCAACGGAGTGCCACATGTCATTTGACGGTCAGCTCACCGGCTCATGCTGACCGTCGCGTACACCGCTTTGTACTAGTGAGTGAAGAACCAATCTCCTTTTGGCGTACTATAGTGTTTTCAAGACTGTGACCTCCATCAAACTCTTCCAGGCCGTCCTTTGGGACCATGGCAAGCGCCTGAATAGAGTCTGGTCTTGTTTCACCACCAGGTGACCTGGTCGTTTCTCATGTCAGGCCCAAATAAGGGCATTTCAGGTACATACAATACATATCAATTGATGAGCTTTTATTTCCGCGTTGAATCAGAAGAGATACGCGATACATGGTGTGACCTGACCTGTTCTCAACGATTGCCGACGCTTTCCACGAAAATGACTTCACGTCAAATCATGCAACACCATGTTGAGGCTCCGTGCTAACACATCTGACTGGCTGCAGCTCAAGTCTTCGCATGTTCCTCTGCAGACATACTTTCTTGTTGAATACCACCACAGCAGCCAAACCTCGTAATTCTCAGCCATCTCAACAAAGTTTCGCAGCCAGCTTCAGCCGCCAGTGCAAAACATCTAGCTCCGTGCTGCCGTCACGCGACAGCCTGGTCTCCAATCTCCATCGCCTGCTATCCCCCGCGCGCCTTGACAAAATCGACGAGATCAAAGAAGCTCTTCTTGTAGTTCCTCACCTGCGAAGTCCTATTGACAGTCTGGATGCCGAAATTCGACGCCCCGTCACCAAACTCCCTACGCGCCCCTTGTCAGCGATGATTACAGACGCACACTGAGGAAGAAGAAAAAAAAAGAAAATAAATGAAGAGAGACAGAGACAGAGATAGAGAGAGAGAGAGAAAGAATAGGAAGCAGAGTGGCTCACCAGTTGTCCGCAAAAGACCAGGCATACGCCCCCGCCACATCCACGCCGTCCTCCCAGATGGCCTTGAGCACCTCGGTCAGGTAGCTCAGGTAGTAGTTGCTCCGCGGCGTGTCGAACAGCTGGTCGGCGAGCGCGACCTTGTCCGTCTCGGCAAAGACGGGGAAGCCAAACTCGGTGATGACGACGGGCCGGCGCCACGTGTTCCAGACGTAGCCGAGGTAGCTGCGCAGGTACACGGGCGTCGTGTAGACGTAGCTCTGCGAGCGGTAGCCGACGTTCCAGCCGAAGCGGTTGACCTGCGTCTGGTTGACGCAGTAGGGGCGCAGCGGGTGCCCGGCGTCCGCGGCGCACGCGCGCACGCTGTCGGCGTCGCCGGGGGTCGGCGGCGCCACGACCGTCGCCGTGTAGTGAATTGTTGTAAAGTGAGCGGCCTTGTCTAGTTTGCACTCTAGGGGATTGGGCCAGGGGCGATTGGGTAGGATATGTGCTGGTGGTAAGATATAGGGTGGGTCTGTACTTTTAAAGGGAGGGGTCACCCCGTTTCCTGGAAGGATTCGTTTTATTGCGGCAGTTGAGAACGGTTAGTTTTTCTTTATATCGGGTAGCACTTGAAGAAAGTGTATGTATTTGAAATGTTTTTGGTTCTTTGTCAAGGCGATATATCCGTGCTAACGGGGGAATGCCTGACATATCGGAGTGTG